TTGAGGTCCGAGCACACACTCTCTCACACACACACACACACACACACACACACACACACTTTGAAATACAAGTGCATGCTGCACATATACTAGAAACTGCTTATTATGAAAAATGGCATGTAAAAAAGTATGAAGTATGCAATGATAAACATTTCAAAAATTCAACGAGCAACATTCCGTTATCTCATAAATAAATATGCTTATTTTGTATTTTTGAATCCAGTTTTGTTCAAACACTGCTTTAGGCAGCCCAATCAAATAATGAATCAAAAAAAGAGATGTTAAAAATCACAGGTGATGTCAGTGCCAGTTAATTCATGCACACTGCAAAGGGAAGGTCTGTTCAAAGCACATTGCATTGTGGGACAACATTAGTATAGTACAATTAAAATCATTTTTGCTGAAAATGTGCTCACCCTCAGGCCATCCAAGATGTAGATGAGTTTGTTTCTTCATCAGATGTAGCATTGCATCACTTGCTCACCAGTGGATGCTCTGCAGTGAATGGATGCCGTCAGAATGAGAGTTTTTAGTTAAAAACGTCTTAATAATGGATTTGTTTCTTACAAACAAGCAGCTTTTGTCTTCTCCAGATGTTCACTGATGGACTGGAGTGGTGTGGATTACTTGTGGATTATTGTGATGTTTTTATCAGCTGTCTGGACTCTCATTCTGCATGGTGATAAAAAGGTCATAAACACACGGTTCAGCTCCAGTAGTTCAATGCTGCCACAAAATATATATTCAGAAATCATTTGTCTTCATTTTGAGGTTTGGAGTAATGCTGCTGCTAAACCTGATCCGCCATTATGTTTTTATCAGCTTTTTATCTCTCTCTGGGGCTTTCAGCATCTGTTTATTTACATGCCCGTCTGGATAAAACCTCGCCTCTTCTGAACAGAAGTGAATAAGAGCAATGCATGTCTGAGAGAGACAGAGGAACATTTTACTGCTCCTGCTCAGTTCAGGAGACTTTTCTCTTGCATTTAAGCATCAGCTTTGTCTCAGATGTTTCTCCTAGATATAAAAACACACAAATGAGTCCATAATTGTCATCCAGTAGGAGTATAAAGCTATAAAATGAATGTGGAGCAGGTCAGATGATTCAATGAGAAATGCTTGAGTGT